GATTTACCTTCGGCTTGATTCTCTTCAGAGCCGACTTTAACTATACTAAGCAAATTTCCTTGTGTTGCTTTCTCAATGCATAATTCACGCATAATATCATGGACAAAAAATGTTTTTACCTTTCCAGTTAAGCCCCTGGAGCCAACCTGCACAAGCGACCTTTCTACCAACTCAGCCAAGCATTTTTCAGCAACATCTTCGAGCGTGTCTTCTGAAATTTCATCATTGCTAGAGGAAACAAGACCTTCTGCCTCCCACAGCCGAATAATTTTCTTTGCCGGTATCTCCAGATTTGTCGGAAAATAACCCAAATATAGGAAGCTCGGTTTGAGCTGAAATGGAAGGTCATAGTAGCTCAATTCTTGTATTAGTTTCCACCTTGGTACCTGGTGGTGAATCTCGGCGTAGGAGCTGATATGCTGTTCCACGTCTGTCCAATTCTTCAGTGACTTCTTTGTCGCTAATACTCCTCCGAGCATAGAAATTAACAACGGAAGGCCATCGCAGAATTTGAGAAGTTTTTCCATAATGCTGTCTTTGTCGGGAATTTTTTGTTCTGACGAGGAATCCTTCTGTATCTCAAGATCTTTTTGTCCTGACGAGAAATCAAACAGTTGAAGAAATAGTAAGGTTCAGGCAGCAGAAGCTAAAACGTTAACAATTTATAACTAACAGAAATATGAAATCAGTCTAGGATGGCTGTGGGTGCACCAAAACCCTATACTCCAAGAAAAGTTCATAATTTATACGATTTAAAAATTCTACATATCCTACAAATTCTAGAAAGCATTACAGTTCTAGTTCTACAAAATGAACTTCTGGTACCTATTATCTCATCATCTAGTTTTAATTTCAAATGTAATTGACAAACAGGGTAAAGAATTCATCCCGAGGATTCCAATTTAATCACCTAAACTAGGAAACTTAAAAGTGAACCCCCAAAAAAAAAAAAAACACACACACACACACACTCACAGAAATAATATAGGTGAAACATGGTTGGAGGCTTGAAGCTCATAAGTAGATAAACTCAATTGAACAGACAAACTTAATTGGGAAAAATGAAAAAGGAAAGTGAGAAAATTAAATTATGACAGGAAATTTTAGTTGTTTGTATAGGTCATCTGCTTGTTTGAGTCTTTTGTTTGTAATGACTGATTAAAAGGATGTTTGACAGTATTAAATATTAATTGTAGGCTCCATGTAAAAAAAAATAAAAAATAAAAAAATAAAAAATAAAAAATAACCAACATTTGGTAAAGCAGCCACAAAGCAAGTGATAAAATGTTGCTCCAGTCTTGTTTTGCACATTGTCCGAAAAGTCGAACAAAGTTATTCAAAGCAACTCCAAACATATTTTGAGTTTATACCACATGAAATAGCCTGTCAAAAAGTCATATAGAAACAAGGAGATTGAGGTTCATACCAGATATACCACATAAATTGTCTTTGAGTATCTCTTTTAGGAGCTCCTTGCTCTTAGTCTCATCCAAGCATTTCAAGTAATAAATATTGGCACCTGGATGTACATGTCTTGCCACTTCTTCTAGCTGATTTGTGATTAATAACTTGCATTGAAAATCAGGGCTTGCAGATGGAAAGGATTTCTTCAAACTATCCCAGACCTCACTTCCCCAAAGGCCATCTAGCACAACAAAACATTTGTATTTACGCAGAACCTTGCAGAGCTCAACCTCTAGCTCAGTATCAGCCATCTGAGATATCTGTTCCTTTGATTTGAAGGTAAGGGTGCTTAGAAGGTCTTGCTGAACAGCTGAGCTCTGGCATGGATAAGGAACATAAGCCCAGGCAAAGGCCTCAAAGTGTCTCCTGATTCTTTCGTCTTGAAAAATTTTCTTAGCCAAAAAGGTCTTTCCAACACCAGCAACTCCACATATGGACACAACTCTGCATTTTTTCTTTGTCTCCCTTACCAACTCATTTACCACTTTATCCAAATCATTTTCCCGGTCAATGAATTTCTCTTCAGTACGACTGGTGAAATTAGTCCTGTGTCTCGATATCCAAGAGGATGAGCTTTCTCCCGTCTTAAGATTGATACCATAAGTTTGCAGCTTAGTGGTCAGGGAAGAGATCTGCTGCGTCAAAGAGTCAATTTTAGATCCGATCTGATGAAGTGATATACATTTCCACAAAAAAGCTGTATGTTTTTTCATGCGGCCCACAATGTCTCTTCTCCTTGTGCTCTGAAAATTGACGTCGATGAGAAATTTCTCGATTGTGTCTTCAGCTTCATAGGCAAATTCTCTGATCCGAGAACCCACCTCCGGGCCATGGCATTGTCATATTTGGTTGCATCTGCCTCACTCAGAAAGCAATGCATCCAATCAAGTTCATCTCGTAGCTCTTTCACCTTGGATTCCACCTTGGATAAGTATGTTGCTTCCTCAATAACCAATTTTCCAAGCCACTGTGCAGCTGATTGGATATCAGCCATCCTAGCTTTAAGTTGGTCACATCAGAGTTTTATAAGTGCTACTTATTCAAAAAATAAATAAAATAAACTAATACGCAGTACTATAATTCTAAAGGTGTTTGGCAGTCCTAATAAAAGTAGTGAACTAGTGATCAATAGAAAAACAGAGGAACAAAACACCATCTATTACGCTATTGTAGAACTTAGCTGGTTGTGTTTAATTCAATAATAACATGAAGTTCTCCATGAAAATCAGTAAAATGGATTGTTCAGAAGTTAGAAAGTCATTTAATATCTCCAATATACATGAATTCATAAAAGTAGGTACCAATGGTATATTAGCCATTAGGAAAGCCTTTTCTTTTTTTTTTTTTTTTTTGGGAAACATATTAGGAAAGCAATTAATTGATGGAAAAAAGATCTTGTTATCAAAAAGGTGCATAATTCTAGGAGATCTTGGGATCAAATCTCACCCCACCCTTGGGGCTCTCTAAACACCAAAAAAAAAAAAAAAAAAAAAAAAAAAGAAGGAGAAGCATAATTCCTTTTGAGCATTATAATTCATGCTAATGAGATAAACATATTTAGAGCTGCCATTATTTTTTTTCATTTATTATTTTGTATTCTTAGTTACAGCACATACTTCATATAGTGCATCATATCATATTTGCCTCTGTATAAATTTGCCATTACTTAAAAGTACATTATTACTTATTACTTATTAGACAACCTTTTCTTCGTGTGATCGCCCCTAGCGTACCTATCTATATACATGTAAATAAAAAGACTAATTAGCTTGGACTATTCTCGTTTTTTAAGTGCAACAGTTTTGACTTTTTTCATTTAGTTGAAAAGAAAAGGACTCATCACATTTTATTATTTTTCTCGCATATTATAGATCTCACCTTTTTTTTCGTATTTCTATGAAAACAATTTTAAAAGTTACACCCCCGCCAGCAAAAGTAACGATCTCCACAACCCGCTAACATCAACAATAAAACATTATCATCAAATACTTTAATAATTTGGGATCAGCTAACATAAATCGTCATAAAGAATCATCAGAAAAGTAATGAAGCATAAAAAAAATCATTTGACATAAATCCACAACCCACACCCACTAACACCAATATTAAAATATATTACCCCACTACTAAATTTCACAAAATAATATACTCCTTCCAAGACTACATCTCATATTAATCTTCTTTCGATTGACTTTTCTTTTTCTATCTCTATACAAACTTGCATATTCCTATTCATAAATTCAGTGGATATTTCCTATTATCATGCAAAAAGTAAGGTAGTAATTAAGGCTGACATGAAACGAAAGCAAATAAAAGCTTCATACTATAGATTCTAATCATATATTCATATGGATGTGCAATCTTACCCGGCACTAATCTTGGAATGACTAGTTCAGATGTTGAAGTAGCTTAGATCCTTTGCTACTGGGTCATTTTTACAATACACGAAGAACAGTAAGCTCGCAGTAATGTTGTTTTTTAATCTTTTGGAGTTATATAGTAGAACATAAAAAAAAAAGTATTAACTTGGAATTAAAAACACCAATATTGTACCAGATTTATATATTGGAGAAAAACAGAACCTTCCTTTCCTCTCATAGTAAGAAACCCATGATGCCAAAACACCAAAAAGTAATGTTCTCTCTTCTTTTTTCTTTTTTTTTAATAATACTAAGCTAAGCAAAGAATTAAATACAGTACCACTATGTAAGAAAACACACTGTCCGCAACTCCACACCATCCAGTATACTGGACGTCCATAGCATAATCGCGCTTGATAGTATGATTTGAACTAAGGCTCTGTTTGGCTCATCTATCTTATTTGTATGGATAAAAAATATATGAACTTAACTGAAATTCTTTTGTCTAAACATACCCTAATATTGTTAAAACTACTCATACAAATAGATACAGATACAAAGGTAATTACAGTTTTCTTATTTGAGAATACATGCTTCGTATCATTTTCACAGTTACCGGCTTATTAGTAAAGTTAAGCATTTAGAATCAGTAAACAGAGTAAATACCAAGGATATGATACCAGCAGGACCTTATACCTTACCCCAGTTAACTTCTTTGCCGATGTAAACGTGTTTTCAAAGTCATTCAAACTGATTTCCGCAAACAAAAGTTTGGAAAAGGAGTAAATATTCTTTATTTTGTAAAGTACCAAGTATTAGAGAAGGATGATATATATTTAGATAAATTAGTGTCATCTTGGATCACATTTTCTAAACATTTCACCCAAAGTACTGAAATACTCCATACTCCTTGACCGTTAATTTTATATGAAGTATTATTGTACAGAAACTAATGCCTAATCCATTCAGTTAACTAGCTAAGAAAATCGAAGAAATTAAAGCACAATCCAAAAATCAAGGCTCAAAACACACTGAGATTTTTCTATTAACACGACAAACATTTTCAGTTGGTCATTGTTAACTTACATATAAGCATTCAAAGCATATCAGAAAATTTATAAGTAAAATAATCACTATAGTACTAAATTTAGTAATTTACAAACCAAACAGTCAAAATTGTCGTAAACTCTTCAACTTGGATTAATAGGTACTTCGATGATAAAAATGGAGGAGATATCAAATGCTTACATATCAGTACTAGCAACTTAGCAAGTAGCCTATTGATATAAATGAGTGGACTACTTACTACAAAGTACTTCGATATATTTATATAGCTAACATAGGGGCGAGGCTCTAGGCAGCTCGGTGTTGTACTTAAAAGAACAATATATAATACTAACTCCACTTGATCAAGACAAAATCTGAAAGAACTACATCCCAAATATGAAGCCTCTTTCTCCTTCCCAACCCCATGCGCTCTGCTCCCGCATTCACTACCAAATTCAAAATTGCCAAGAAATCAAGAAGACAAACTAAGTGACCTAGGCCTCCAAAGGGCTGGCAGCTCAGATATTTCTAGTCAGAATTTGATGAATCATGGGTTTCACTTTGTCGCACACTTCTGGTATGCCCCTGAGACCGAGAAGACTTTACAGATGATTCACCCTCAAAGATGATAGCCTGATACTTAGCCAATCTCTCCTCCAATTCGTCTGTGCTAAAATCATCCTTGCCACCAAGCTCATCGAAACCAACCTAAAATTAACAAAAAATATTATAAACTTGCAAGAGTTGTTGCAAGGGATGGTAGGATTCAGATAAATACCATATAGTTTTCAACTTTGGCATTCTTAATAATAGCAAGGGTTGGAAGGACAACAATCTTCAGCTTTTCGGCTAAGAATGGACTTTTCTCAGCCTGAATTTTTACAAAGCGAGTCTCAATATGCTGCTTTGCCAAAATACTCAAGTGCTTGTCCACTACCTACACATGACATAGACATATATCAGTGAAGTACTCCCACTACTATGCAACTCCAAAATTCTTTCCCTGATAGTACGAAGTATATCCTTCTCAGTATCTCTTCTGCAATTCATGACATCCTCAAATCAAAGAATTCTTTTAAAGGATTGCATCTTTGACTCCATTAGTCCTAAATGCATCAATAACAATAAATTACTAGGATCTTTTCTCCCCCAGTTCCTAAACGTCGAATCAAATGAGAGATTACAAGCTCACAAAGGCACAAGGAACCCAAAGTGATGTTTGAAAGTGTACAGCACTACAGCCGTTGGAAGAAAGTCTGACTCCCTCAAAAGAATCATATGCCTGTCTTCGAGTGATGTACAGTGTGTACCTTATTTAATTAACTTAAGGAAAAACCATAATATCTACAGTCAAGCCTCTGACAGTCTGACCTAAGATACAGACAGCAGCAAATCTATTATCAAAGGCTGTTCTGTTTTCAATCCCTCCTAACTTCATCAAAAGACAAAATAAATCAGGAACTCTTTCACATGTACCATGCCTGAGAGAAGCTCAAAACATACGCCCACTGGAAGAGATCTAAACAAATTGTATGCTGGGTTTCCGCAAAATTCAAATTAAAAATAACTACACAAGCCACAAAGAACAAACAGATGAACCAGAATATAGAACTTTCAGAAGTTGACCCTAAGTTTGAGAATTTAGCCACTTTCGAGGTAGTCTATTCATTCCCTCCAAAAATCAAAAATAACAAACTAAAACTTGGCCTTATATATCATGGTCAACTTACGGGCTGCTACCATTATCCAACCACAATTACCATGTAGCTACACTACTAACCTTAACAACATAAACATGCAAATTTCTCATTAATTCCTCAACATCCTAAATTCCACTAAATTTTAGAAAACTTGGCCGAGTTCATAAAAAATTGCAACTGTTAACAGTTTCAAGCTTCTTACCAACTTTGCCAACAACAAATTAAAAATCTGTGCCCCATATTCAGTTTATTCAATATTCACTGCTTCACATACCTAATTTGTAAACTACTACTGCATTTGACATGGAAAAAAGACTTAAAAGAGTATGCACTAACAGGTTAGATATGACTACTCCTAAAAAATGGCCTTGTTAATAAGAAAATCATATTTTTAAAAAAATTCCCCTAATCAGCCTAGGCAAGAAATCCATACCAATAGGAAATAGCCATGCTAATACCATGAAAGACCTAAGTTAGTAAGCACGGACTCAGAGAGTCGAGAAAAAATCAATAATATTAGAGCTATCTATTTACAAACTTCATTTTCCTCAAAAAAAAATTACAAACTTCATCAATCCAGAAATGTAGAGTACCAATTGCTATTTAATTTCCACAATCATAGGCAGAGATAAGATCAGACCCCCTGATTTCTATATCGATGGAGTGAAACTTCCAACAGATTTTCACCAATGTAATGCCGAAATTTAAGCTCTTGTAAAACTACATCAGAATAATCTTCTCAGTGTCTTCTTTGAGATTTCTAAATTTAATACTCTAGTTCCCAAAAATAGATGACTGTTCAGTTGTCTCCCCACTTTAATGACCAAGCAAAGAGATAAGTTGCTCTACTCTTCCCTCAATGTTAACAAATAGCAGCGGATCAACCAAGCCTTTTTAGATTTAGACCTCATCATCTACAACTCCAATAATTTTCCCCGACTCAAATATTCGACTAATCCCCCGAAATGCAGGAATAACCAAGCTATAATTATGGTACATTTAAGTGATTTTCCAAGAAATCAATATAAACACCACCCGTCAAGTTGTTTTCCACTATACTCTTTACTTCGTATTAAATAGGCTAAATATTATGAAAACCAGATCTACTTCCTTCTTCCATGACATCCAAAATTCCAAACAACCGCAATTCTTCAGCTCTATACAATCAAAGGTTACAATTTTCCTTCTACATCACCATACTCAAATAGTCAATTTAATTCAAAAAATGTGCATAATAACCTCATCAAACAGAAAATTTCACCCTTAATTAAACCCTCAATCTCTATTTTCTAGGCTAATTTTCCTCTACATCAAACAAATATTAGATCTAATATACTTCCATAAACATAGCATCCTAATAAATTAATAAAAAAAAATTAAAAATCAAATGATAATAGTTTACCTTACAAGGCCAATTCTCGCGATAGAAATGGCAAACGACGCGTTCACTGGCTTTAACAACAGAGAAGAAATCCTTTTCAGACGGAATCTCAGAATACTCGCCATGGCCAAGAGAGATCCAACGGCTACGCTTCTCCGCCATTTTCTTCATCTGTTGAATCCTCTTCTCTCTCAACACTTCGATATCGTCGCTTTCAAGGCGATCTAAGGCTGCGATTTCATCATCAATCTTTTCCTCCATTGCTTTCGCCACTGTTAGAACTTGCTTCTCCAAAATCTGCAGATATTTGATTAATTTTCTTAGAATAGTGATGAATTTGATTCATAGATTTGAGAAATTGAGGATGAATTTGACGTACCTGTTGAACGTTAGGGTTTTCCATTTTGATTTATCGATCGATTTGTCTGGAAAATTGGGATTACGCCGGGAATTGTAGAAAGAAGGTTTTTTTGTTTCTGGAAATTGGGAGAAATGAAGAGAGAAAAATTAGGTGCGGTAGTAGAAGTCTAGAAGATAGATTTCTCACTTGCTCACTCTCAATTGACTCGGCGCTAAAGCCCTTTTGAATTCGTTTGAGAGGCGTTAAAAACCAATTCGATTTGACTTACTCCATAATTGAAAAGTAACTTGATTTATAACATAACTTGTATGAGCATATTAATTATAACTTGAATTAGACTTGATTTAAGGGTCTGTTCTCATTGACTGAAGTGAACTGAGATGAAATGAACAGAACTGAGCTGAATTGAACTGAACTGCTGAACTGAATTAAACTAAACTGAACTGAATTTCAACGTATGAGAACAGGCCCTAACTAGATCCAACTAAACTCGACTCAATCATCTAAGTAGACACCTCCACATAAAAAGGAGAGCACCTTCTCGACAAGTCGAAGTTTTGACTTGGTAGGGTTTTTTTTTTCTTTAAATTGATTTTTTTCTTTAGATGACCTATGATAATTTTTTTTTCTTCTTTGTTTTATAAATCCATGTTACCCAATATGAGTAACAAAATATGTTACTCGTACTCAAGAGGTACTCTTGTCTTTTCATATCTACCATTCTACTTTCTCTCTCCTTACTCCTCGTTTTACCTCAACCATCACAACCACCACCATCATCACTTTCGTCGTGGCTGAACTTGACCTATCTACGAAAATTAAGCTCAATTGAAAGAGTTTCAATGGAGGACATGGTCACCTTTTCCATTTGGGATTGACCATGTCGTTAATTTCACCCTTAAATCATAGGGTTTTCATTTTGCTCCAATGTGGGTGGAGATCGGAGAAGATGGAGAAAGGACAAAGAAGATGGTGGTTGTGAGAAAGGATTATTATGGAGATTGGCTTGAGAAAGGACGAAGATGGTGAAGATCGGCTGGGAGAAAGGATGAAGAAGATGGTGAATGTGAGAAAGGACGGTGGTGGAGAACGGTGGCTATGAGAAAGGACGATGGCGAAAGAAAGTTAGTGGTTGTGATTATGGTGGGTAGCTGTGGTGATTAGAAGGTAGAAGGAAGAAGGATGAGTTAGCAACAAAAATAATAAAATATTGTTAAATTTATAATTAGTAACAATTTATGTCATTTGAGTAACAAATGTTGTACTCAAAATGAGGAATTGAGGCTCACCCTTTTTGAAACACTATGATAAATTTTTGAGAGAAAAGTGATATAGCTTTCTTGAATTTATAAAGTAAGGGTCTGTTCTCTTACGTTGATTGTTCAGTTCAGCTTCTAATTTCCTTCTCTTATAAAGTATTCATTTCAATTCAGTTCAGCTCGGTTCAGTTTAGTTCAGCTCAGTTCATTTGAGTTTAGTCAATGAGAACAAGCCCTAAGAAAAGAGTATCATTTTAAAAACATAACTAGTATTTGGGCCAATACCCCAGGTCATTACATGGGATTGCATTAAAGTACGTTTTAATTTATGAGTCATAAGACGCTTAGTTTTACCGTTAGAGGCTGTATGTTTCAAACCGTGGATTTTATTATAAATTGAAGACATTTGACATCTAATGGAAAACATATGGATGAGATCGAGCGCCGTGCCACGTGGCACTAGGGGTGTTCAAATCCGAGTACCCGGGTTTTCGGGTACCCGAAAACCCGAGTACCCGGAAATTTGGGTACTTGACAATCTGTCTCATGTCCCGACCCGAATATCTCGGGTACCCGGGTTATTCGGGTCGGACATATAGGGTACCCAAATCTCTTTTTTTAATAAATTTTTACTTAATTTTATGTATTTATACTTGCTGTGATTTAGCATAAAAAATAAAAAATAAAAAAATAAAAATCCTGTTGTAATTTGATTTATTTTTACAAAAAACCTGTTGATTCCAGATTCAAATCTGTCAAATCAACCCACGACCTCACATTCATCGGAAACTCCTCGGAAAACATATTCCCCTGCAAACTTCTGTAATCTTTTCAATCCGTTATACAACTCGGCAACCCTCCACTAAACCGATTCTCACCCAAAAAAAGCTCAATTAATTTCCTCAATCCACAAATTTCCGAAGGTAAATTTCTCGAGAAATTATTGCCGGAAATTAAAAGTCTTGATAAATTAAACGAATTTGAGATAATAGGAGGCAGAGTACCTTCAAAATGATTATCCTGAAGGTCAGCAGTATCAAGATGAGGTAAATTCCAGAAACTTTGAGGAAATTCGCCGGAAAAATTACTGTTGCTAATTCTTAAAGGAAGAAGAAGGCGGGAACACAGTTACACAGAGCCCTAAGAGAGAGAGAGAGAGAGAGAGAGAGAGGGAGCGGCGGAGAGAGAGAGGAGATTGAGAACCCTAATTTCGTGAAAGGAGGCTGGGCTTTGAGGTCTGAGGAGTTTGACTGTTTGAGAGCGAATTTTTCTTTTTTTTTTTTAAGTTTTAATTCGGGTAATCGGGTACCCGAATTTGGCAAAATGCGGCCCATGTCCCAACCCGGATAGAAGGCAGTTTTCCCGGGTCGGGTTCCTGACCCGAAAAAAACAGTTTTTTTCGCTTAAAATTCCCATCGGGTATTAACCGGGTCATCGGGAAATCGGGTCAAGACAATCTGGTCGGGTTTTTTTGAACACCCCTACGTGGCACGCATACATTGTTTGAAAACGCCTTTTAATATATTGTATAGATTTAATAATGAACGAATATAAAATATTATTAGTTCATAATAATACGGAGTATTGTTTTTTTTTTTTTTTTATATTTCATGCACAATCATACTATTAAATTTAATACAAGTATTACAACATAGTCACAGACATGTTAAATTGATTTTATCCAAATTTAATTTAGTACTCGTATAATAGTCTTTGAATTGAATATACTACCTCCGTCCCAAATTACTCGCAACGGTTTGACTTTTTGCACTATTCACACATCTTCTTTTGACCATCTTTGTTGTTTGGTCTATTTTAATGTATAGTTTCTTAATATAAACTTTTTATAACCTATATAAATATATAATAAAAGATATCAACGGTCAAACATGTGCATCGGCAAACGTGTCCAGTCAAAATGTTGCAAGTATACTGGACAGGGGGAGTATCATATAATAAATCTTAAAAACACATGGGATATAAGTTAGTTAAATTAGTATAATTATTAAAGTCATTCATTATTCCTTATAATAATAAGGTTACATTAAGGCATTAATCTTAAGGCATGATTGGAATGAGGGCGATGTATGTATTACATGCGTAATAAAAGTCAAACTAAACAAAATGAAAGTGAATATAGAGAAGGATGAGATAGTGATAATGTTATTGCAAGGAAAATTATTTGGTGATGGGTGTGGTGATTGTATGAGGTCGTACCCTCATTATGAAGGTTTCATCTCTCTCTTTTCCTTATGGCACAAGGAATTATCTTATTACTCGGACGTGTTAGCTACTTAGCTTATATCCAAAGTTACATAACAATAATTCATTTATTATTCTTCGTATACACATTCAATTCTCCATTTCACATAATCATACCCTCGAATCACACGGTCATATACATATTCATGTTATGGAGTATTATAAAAACGAATTGAAATACAAAAAAACTGATATATAGGAAATGTAACAAAGAAAATTTTAACACTTCATAATTAAACCAATACTCTTAATGAATAGAACACAAATTCATCAACAATGATGATGATTTATTAGCACTTTAATAGTCACAACGACACCAAATGACAATAATACCTAAACAACGACACCAAATGACGACAATAATCCCTAAACAACGACACAATAATCAATAGACAACGACACATAAACCATATATCAATACATATATATGGTTCTAACATAAGAATTTACTCTAATCAAAATACTACTACAAATAAAACAAACAACAAGCACACCCTAAACAACACAAGAATTATTATAACATACTCGAAACAATGACAAACAACATGACACAAAATCAAACACTGTCCAAGCTCAACGATGCTATCAACGGAACCTGTTGTTTCTGATAAGGGACAACACCCTCTTGCCATGGATATGGCTGTGCAAAAACGCGTAGTTAGCGTCGATTCGCTCCACCAGCCTTTGGTACATACACAACCCCATACACACTCCGTGATTAAGGTGCATCATCTGTAACAATAATCCATCAAATATTATTATTATGTACAAGAAGCAATTAAATTAAGCTAAGATATCGAGTGACTAAGTAAAAATCATCAAGCTTACCTTTGTTCTACGTAGAGCAGATTGAGCAACAAAGTTCCCGGTAGGATGTTGAAGAATCTCAAGAAAATTTGCATCATCATTTTCATTAAAAACCTCACTGATGATAGGTTCGACGAATTCATCATGACCTTCTTTAAAAAATTTCTCAACAACATGACTACCAAACTTGTTCTTAGTTAGACGAATAAGATAGCCATGTAATGCCATTAGAACTTCTTGCGTAATGTGGAAATCTTTCAATCCAATGACATATTGTACAACATAGTTTCTGCCAATAATTAAACAAAAACGAATTAAGATTAGACTAAACTATATATAGACTAAAATTGAAATTATATTGAAGTTGAAATTATTTAAGAAAACAAACCCATAATCGCTTTCAGATAGCTCCAAGGCATGATGTATAATTTCACGAATGATACGATCACGTTCGGGTGATAGAACCTGTATACAGTTTTGCAATACACAACATCCACTTCTATCCATTGCTATCTCCACACAATGATCGGCTACTTCACTCAGAATAGGCTGTTCGAGTCCAAATTGAAAAATCAATTAGTCACATAGTAATTTAATTTGCATTGTAACATAAACTTAAACGAACAGTAGCAAATAATTAGCCAAACATATATTTTTAAGTGTGAGAAGTTTATATAAATCAAATATATATGAATAATATAAAAACCATTCAACATAACGGCCCCGTTTGGTTTAATGTAAAACATTTTTAATGGAAAATTAGTTTTCATGGAAAACATATTTTCAAGGAAAAACATAATTGCAAATTAGTTTTCCTTTGTTTGGTTGCATACAAGAAAAGTCCAAGAAAAATAAAAAATAAGAGTGGAAATGTAAGGATGAATGAAAGGGAAGTAAAAAAAGAGGTAAGGAGGGAGGAAAATGTGGCTTCCCTTATTTTTAAAAGGAAAATGTTTTCCTCATTAAGGAATTTTCCACCCTTGAAAACCAAACAGGGCCAACATCAAAGACACTTTAATTTTAAAGTTAATAAAAATAAAAATTCACGCATGAATCGGATACATAACATTTAGACCATACACCCGTTTAAGAAAAACAAAATTAAAAATTAGACACGACAAATCATATACACGAAATTATACTCCGTATAACGATTTAATCTTTATGTCAATGCGAATAACAATAACACGCAAAACTAATTTACAAAAAGAATGTACAGTAACACGCTAAACTAAAAAAACAAATATGCAGTGAAATTAATGCCAAGTAACAATTACACACTTTTTTTGGTAACAAAAATGCAAATTTAATAACAATGAGAATAAAGAAATTAATTACCCCGGTGATTTCATAAACTTTTGTCAAAGCTTTCAAGACATGAAACCCATTCATATTCTTTGCTAGAGCCACCACACTTCCCCTAATTGCATTCATAACGACCGCCTTCTCTTCGAGACTATCCGAATCCAAGCAACTCAGTAGTTTCTGGACTCCCCTAGTCCTATAACACAGTTAAACATAAATCAAATTAATCAACCATCATAATTAATCATAATTCAATTTTGTATAAAAATAAAATAAAAAACGTAACGTACCCAATATTATCAAGGCAAATGCGAAGAAATTCATGTTGATTAGCAACAAGAGCCTTAAGAATATCGACGATGTCTTGATGATCAAGTATATCCAATAGCTTATGAAAGAATTCATTACCACAAGAATTCATCAAGATTAAAGATAAACCCTCCTTAATCTCGGAAATTACCATCTTTAATCCTTCCATATGCCCTAACTCGAACTTATTAATCATCATCAGACTATATTCTTTTTCAGTCGCGTATTTCAGAACATTTCCCTTGATTTCTTCCCATGACATCATCGACGGAACAAACCCTCGTGTTCGAGGGACTGTTATCGTTGTTGCTGTCGTTGTGGCCCTCGAGTTCCTCCTTGGATAATAATTATTGTTGTAATTAACATTGTTACGACGATGATGATAACTATTATTATTATTATTATTATTATTATTATTATTATTATTATTATTTTGTTGGAAAGCGTTGTACAAAAAAAGCGTCAAAAAGTCAGGATTATTATAGTAATTATTGTTATTACTATAATTGTTACCAAGGACGGGCTGAATCTCATTTTGAGGCATCATTGCGAAATAATCAAAAGGAGGAACGTAACCCGAACCTAAACCTGAACCTGAACCCGAACCTGACAAAGAATCGGAGACAGTGTTGTTGATGAGCTTCGGGTAGTACGGAGCAGGGACGACTTCTTGATTAGCAGCAGCGAAAATAAGTTGTCGCATTCTATTCAACTGATACTCGAGATCATGATGATATGAATCATTGTTGTTAGGGCGAGGGAGGTTCGGGAATTGGGAAGCGGAATCGGAACCTGATAGCGAAAGCCGAGAGAATTGATCTTGCAAGGATGGTGAAGGGAGGTGGTGTGAAGGAGAAGGGGGAGATGGAGGGTTGGAAGAGAAAGAAGGACGCCATTGACGGTCCATTGAATTGATTGAGAGAGAAAACTCTAAGAAAAAATTATTTGTTAGAGAGAGAAATAGAAGGAAGAAAAGAAAGGGGGAGAAATATTTATAGAGGGTTTAAAGAAGATCCGAGTGATTAGGGTTTTAGAAAGAGTATCAAGAGGGGTAAAAAAAATAAAAGATTGTTTTTTTTGTTGAAAAAAGATAGCAAAAAAGATTTACTAGAATCTTTATATACGAATAATATGGTTATTTTTTTTTTGACATATATTGGTTGATTATTTGTTGATGATTGTTTCCTACTAGTATTTGATAACAAATTGATTTGTTTTACACACCTATCTTTTTGGTAGGTTTTATTTTTGGTAGGTTGTATTTCCTACTAGTATTTTATTATTTGTTTGTACTATTTAATTAACTACTTTGATTTTCCTAAAAAAAACTACTTTGATTTGTTATGGAGTTTATATTTATCTAGTCACTTAATTTTAATTTTTATTTTTTTAAATTCTATAATGATATATTTGTTTGTTATTTAGCAAAAAAAATTATTTTAATTATTTTTGTTGAGATTACACCTTATCTATATCTATTGATTGAGTTTAAAAACGATTAGTCGGTAATGGTTATATTAGCACATGGACTTACACAATTACCATAATTTTAAACGATAGATGTAATTAACTAAACTTTTTAGGATAGGGGATTTTAGTAGAAAAAATTCATAAAATGAAAGCATGAGAAGTCATTGGCTCGGTAGAACTTCACAGAATTCCATTTATCATGATCGATATAGTGCCCTAAAAGAAAAAAAGAAAAAAATTGATATAGTTTGTAGGTTAGTATTGGAAATTTATTTGTAAACAAGTATCCTAGCCTCCTAGAGCAAACAAATAACACTTCATATGTTAAACCAATCAACCAATTAATGGACTCATTATGAAAATATAATTCTATTTTTATATACAAATCACTAATAACGTCAAGGGGTGCAACTGTTCAAGATATTTAAAAATTGATTAATATGAACTCAATGCAAATTGAATCCATCTACAAATTACAATATCTACCTTCTTATAAAGAATATTTTTACAAAATTGCCAAGATCGAGGAGTACATCATTTAAAGTGTAAATTATCCGGTATTTATGTGATTAGTGGATAGAGAAGAAACAGACGTTTTCATTATAACCATTAACCCATGATGAGCTTAGCCTGCCATTTATTCCGCATATGATCAGCAAATTAAAATGTTATAACCAAAAGTCTATTGGACAAAAATTTGTTTTCTCAAAGACTATTTGAAAAAGAAATACTCAGTAAAACGAAGATAAATAACTACTCGTAGCTAAGTGAACCTTTTACTCGTAGCTATGTGTACTTATATAGAAAAATAAATACTTAGCTATGCTAACCATGTTTCAAATTATACTTAGCTATGCTAACTATGTTTCAAATACTTAGCTTACCAAGTTTCTAATTATATTGAGAAGCTAAGTGACTATATATACCTTTTACTCGTAGCAAAAATTGTGGATAAAATGATCTTATATATATTGGTATTGCTATATATTAATACATGATTTCTTGTCAAATAAATAAATAAATAAAATACATGATTTGGCAATTTTTCGTTCTCAATACAATAAAATAAAAAAGGAAAATAAAAGTAGTTATAACATCTGGATTAATTAATTAAGAGTAAGGGTCAATTCACATTTACTGAACTGAGCTGAGCTGAACTGAACTAAACTGATTGGAACTGAACAGAAATGAGCTGAAATGAAAATTTTATGAGAGAGGGAAATTAAGAGCTGAACTGAACTGAACTGAACTGAACTGAACTGAACTGATTGGAGCTGAACTGAACTGAAATTTAGTAATTAAATGTGAACAGGTCCTAAATAGACATTAATTACGTGCATCAATCTATTTGTGATTTTGCCGTAAATTTCCAAAGTATATTATTGGAAACTTCGTTTAGTACTTATGTACGTAACTATGTAAAACCTAAATGCTGTTGTACAAAGACATTTTTTTAAAACCAAACAATTTACAATCTTAATTTTAGCTATACATTCAACTTTGAATAACCTAGATAATGTAGTCCCCTTTGTGTTTGTGACCATTTGCATGCAATTTGTATTTTATTTTATTTATTTATTTTTTTAATCAGTTGTTTGAATCAACTAATTTTTTTTTTTTTTATTATACAAGAAGTATATTTTTATTATTGTAATGATCACAAAATTTTGTATACGGCTGGCCGTACCGACCAGCCCATATATATATTTTTTTTCTTAATATTTTTCATTTTCTCTCTCCTCTGTCTCTCCTCTCCTCCATTTTCTCTTCTAACTTTCTCTCTCTAACCATCAATGGCGGGCTAGGTCATCCGCCACCGTCGTGTTCATCATCTTCGTCCCGATCTCCTCGAAGCTCCAACCTAGATCACCGTCGCCGTCTTCGTTCGTCGTTGTGGAAGCTCCAAACCAACCCATACCTCTGTCGTCTTCGTTTGATCTTCGTCTTCATCCTTGCCGGCGAAATCAGTCAAATCAACCTCCACCTCAGTCGTCGTCTTCATCTACTTTAGGAATTGCAACCAGAAACGCGCTGAATTTTGAAGCTCCAAACCCTAACATTTTCCCCAAATTTCAAGAGATTCAGGTACAAATTCATCAATTCATTCCAATTAAACAAGTTTTCGCGGCTGAAGAACTGGACTCCATCGTTGCCATCGTCTTCATTCGTCTTCTTATGTTTTCGCGACTTTGTTTGTTTATGTATATGCAGGGTAGTTTTTTGACATGATTTAACCATTATTTAAAGAATATCAATTATATAGAAATAGTATTGTGTTTTAAATTTTAGTTAATTGATATAATAGTATGATCGAGTTCCTTAATTTTCAACATTTACAGATGATGAGCTTCTTTCATCTGACTTTTGTTATTGAAAATTAAGAGGTGGTGGCTACAACTTGGCTTAGTTGGTCAGGGTTACTAGGTCTAGTAGGGGTTACTAGGTTGGAGGGGTTACTTCAGGGGTTACTTGGTTACTAGGTTGGAGGGGTTACTTCAGGGGTTACTTGGTTCGATCAGGGGTTATTAAGTCGAAGGGATTACTTGGTCCGGTCAGGGGTTATTAGAGGGGTTACTGTCCTGTCAGGGTTAATTAAGGGATTATTAGAGGGGTTACTTAAGTAAGGTTACTTGGGGGGTTACTTAACAGGTTACTTTGGGGGTTACTTTGGGGGTTACTTGGAGAGTTACTAGAGGGATTACTTGAGGGGTTACTAATAGGATAGCTAGCCGCACCGTGCGGCCGCACCAGAAACGCACTGACAATTGTTGTAGGAAATATATGGGAGACTAATTACTGTCCCAAACATAGAGATACCATATGATTTTTACTAAAATTGCTTATTTGCATTATATAAATTGAATAACTTATTTAGTTCTTTCCTAACTAGCAAGTAGAATATCTTAACATCCCAAAATTATAAATTGAATTCTAGCCTTCAAATTCAAAATAATTTAATGCATAATTTGCTTTATATGCAAGAAATTTATTATTAATATGGTAGATTAGATATAGTAATTGAATAGTGTGAAAATTCTTATACGAGTAATTTGTTTAAGAATTATTTTTGAGCAATTTCTTCGTTTTTTTAAGCCACTCATTGACAAGGACACAAACTAGTACTCGTACAAAAATTAAGTCAATATAATTGTCTAAATTAAATTCCAGGTTTAATATGTCAATTAAAAACAGACTTGACTTAATTTAATACTCAGTAATAATATCTCTATCTTATTTTATTTATTTATTTATTTAAAAAAAGTATTCCGTATAAATTCTATGCCAATATAAAAGTGTCAACTAAAAACGATCTGAATTTGTTCTCTAGTTCATACAGCAATATTCGATCCCTGGAGCAGCACCAGTACATTAAGGTCTGCTTACTTGAGCAGCACAGTGCCACAGTATATATAGCAAATTAATGACGCAAAACCTGTAATCATCAACTGAATCACAAGTGCAAGCAGTAAGCTGCTACATTAACGGTATAATATTCAGTACAAAATTTCTCATCAAGTGTAAAACACTGCCTGCTGATGTTTCTGTGAAGCTGGTATTCATAATAATACTTTGCCTCGAGAGAAGCCAAACGAAGAGGCACATTAGCAACTACATGATACACTAATAAACAAGATACAACCCTCATTGAGGAAACATTAATAGTGCCTTTTTGCACACTGTACATTTTCCGAAATACATATAGACAGTGCATTTCATCAAGGCATGCTCTCCCTCATCGTCATTGGGATGACTGACAACAACAATAGAAAGACCTTCCAGGCTTTCAGGTAATTTACTCCCTATCAAGGCTATTATCTTCATTGTTTGGTGAAAGTGAAAGTAGTTCCGTCAGTTGTGTTCGGTATTCAAGACCTCTAACGTAGTGTCCCAACAGCATGCACCTTAACAAACAAATGAAGCATCTATTAACCATCTTCTGTACACGCAAGGTGCTACTAGCACTCTAGCATAATAGGATGATACCAATCTCTACAAATGAGAAACCTAACTCCAAGACTGAAAAACTCTCCAACACACACACGCACGCAATAAAAGCAAAAAGGTCAGAAGGCAAGAGAGAAGATGAGCTCAGAAGACTAACCAGAATATAAGACGTGCAAGATAATCTCTGGTCAGTGAAATTATGGGCTGAAAATTAAGCGAAGTGTTTTCAATAAGTTCCGCACAATCTTCATTTTCAACATTTAAAGCTCCAGCAGCATTCTTCTCTGACAGAGGAGGGGCCTTTGAGTGCATCTTTGGAGATAATGTTGCAAGGAGACCATGGACAACAGAATGAATTGTTTCTTTGACTTCAGCAGAGGTTGGTTCTGACAACTCTGCCACCTATACCAACGAGTCAAATGGTAATGAGAAGGAAAGTTTAGTGTAAGCATGTTGATCAACAATAGCATTTATAGCAAGGGTAAAATCAATTGTACCACATGTCATATTTCATAGAAGTTCTATCTCACCAAGCCATCCTACATCACAATTTCTATAAATCAACCTGTTATGATTTGCTCTCAAAGAAAATGTGAAAAGTGGCAAATCCAATCTGAATCTGATCTAAAAATGGACTGGTACTCTCCGAATCTAACTTTCCCAGTTTGCTCTGCAATCCACAAAATTCACGTGATTCTAGTCTTTATATTTAACTGGTTCAATTTTGGAAAAGTCTGGATGTGGATAGACGTATGTCTAAAGTCTCTCAACAAACCCATCGAACCCCCTCCCCTTATCAATTAAGTAATATGGTCATTGGTCAAGTTGTATTCTTGATATAATGCATATATTTAGGAAAAAATCATCACAAATCACGAGGTAATAGCAAGAGTCATATTGATCATAGCCATAGCAAAGAATGACTAGTGCAAATTACGTTTAAGAGGCAGAGAATGTTTTAACCTTCTCAGGCTGCAATGAGCGCAGATAATCCAACAACTCATTCTTTTCCTCTCCCACAAATTGTTGCATCTGAAGAGCAGCATTCTTCCTCTTGACTTCTCTAAGCTCCTTTTTAATCAATATCAAGTAAGATTATGAGAAGGTGTCTTACCATTCATCAACAAGTAATCAGCATTTTCTCAACCACGGTAGAGTAAATAACATAAACATTTCAATATTTCATAATAATCTTGCTCATAATTTTGAAATATTTTAAACACTACTTTGACCTCTATTGATGGTATTAATTTACTAAAGAAATTTTCTGGGTGAGGCAAATATTGAAGAAAATCACATTACACGTAAGCTTCAAATGGCAGACTGAGAAGCTATTTCGTCAATGTAACATAATAAATACCTTCTTAGTAGCAGATAACCGAGAACGCAAGTGACGAATGTAGGACTGAATTTCCGGAGTTATTTCACCAATGTCTTCGCTACTGAGATCTTCAGATGGATTTTCAGCAATTTCCTCACCACTAGAAGAAACCACACTTTCATCGGCAACTTGGACTCTTCTAACACTGTCAAGTAATAGTTCCTGCAAACCAAGATTGAGGGCCTCTGATATTTGACTCTCATTATTTTCATCATGAATATCAAGGTTTTTCTCCAAACAAAGCCTATACTCAGCATTTCTTAAAGTATATCTGCAACATGTAAACAAAAGTTGGGGAATTTAGCATACAATTTAAAACAAGAATTTAAAAGTCATAACAGCCATGCTCTCCAACATATCAAGATAAAAACATCTTTTGGAAGTGTCATAAGAACAGAATTCTTTGCTAGTAGACACAAGCAACAACTATGACACACATGAAACCACAACAATCTCAGCCAAAAGGCCCAAAACCATTTCAAACATACAAATCAATAACCATAATGTAGAGAGCTATTTACTCTACTCAATTATTTTATCCTTACAAATCATAGAGTTCTAACACCCAACAATTAAGCTATATATTCAAGGAAAGCTCTCCACTATGAAATATTTTATATCACCATGAATAAAAAATAGTTCAGAGAATGGAAGAAGCAGAGCAAACACAAATACCACCAATAATAAAAACATTGATTCTCATCGGGCAGTGGGACAGTACCACAGCTAAAAAGCAAGTGCAGAAATGCAGAGATTAAGAGAAAGGAAAAATCTACAATAAAACAAGTAACAGAGGATGAAGACAGTAAATTGCTTAGCAACAACAGTTAATGACTCTATGAGAGCAGGCCTTGTATTTCAAGTAGATGCAGGACTTAAGAATGAAGCACCAGTTAAATGAAGCGCTACTAGTTTTAACTCTTTTGAGAAGGTAATAGCCACACCATATCAGTAATTATGAGTTATCTTAAATCAAAAGACTCACAACCTAGGGTCATTCTAAAGGGTTTTTAAGAAGATTCTGGACATAGCCCCTAGTAGTCTAGTCATATACATCTGATGATAATGTATATCTAGATCCATAATTCGGGAATTCCTCCAGAATAAAAATGGCACATCTGGAAGCAGAATTTAAGCGAGAAGGCTTTCAATATTCTAATAATGGAAGCCAATTACAAATTAATGCCAGGTACCACTATATTTTTCAACTATCATTAGACTTAATTTACAGCAGAAAACAATAATCTAGAGTAGTTCACATTTATATATTACAATACTCAGTAACTGGTAAAAGTTTCTACAATACAGCAAATTCAACATACCCAGTCATCATTGAAGACACCAGCAATCTGGAGAGAGGTTCCCACAAAGCCTCAACAAGAATTTGAAATTGATTCGAAGGAAGCAATCCTAGCATGCCTGAAATAGTCCTTTTCATAGCATCAATGGTAGTAGGAGGAACATCTTTCTGGATGAGGCTAATATCTAGTGGTTCGATGTCTTGGATCAGATCCAAGAGTTTTGGAGACTGAAAGATCAGCATATGAAAGTCAGAAAGTGGACACTGAGCATCAATTTATTAATTTATTCTTAATTACACATCTATGCCTTACTTCATATTCGCTATTAGATCAATATTTCAACTTTTTCCTCCACATTATTATGATTCATGTTTTTCTGTCTTGGAGATCAGACCTCTGATTAAGCACCATCAAAATATTGTTCAATTCAAATTGTGCATTCCATTCAGAATTTGGTTTTCACTTATTCACCCTAAACTTAATTATTATATACATATCTCAACTCAGACTCCAGTCAGACTCAAACCATTTCATTCAATAAACATCATCGACGTAAATTGTTACCATAACCTCGTTCCGTTAAGAGAATCAACATCATTATTTTCTCCCTTTTAGGCTCCAACAAAATACTTCCACAATCTACACCAGCAGATCCCAAAATTTTCATATTTGCCAAGTGGATCCACCTAAAACTAATAGCTAAACCTTTTTTTTGAGATAGCTAAGCCTATTAATTACTCAACTTCTTCTTCACAAAATCAAATATTAAGCTAATTTACTGAAATTCAATCAGCATCTTGACGAGACATACAGCTCAATCAAGGAGCAGACTTAGGTAGTAGATTTACCAAACATCTATATTGTTTTTTTTTTTAAATAATTCACAAGCTTTACATATTTAATTCCTACTTTGTATATTGCATATCACTATCTTTTGAAATCAAAATCAAAATTTACCCTAAAAAATTCCAGATATTTGATAATTCAATCAAAGGACAAATTCCTAGCATGAATCCTTACATCTCACAATTCATACACACAATTACCAATCCTAAACAAAAATAAGCATCCTAAGTATTCGAGCAATCACGAATTCAACAAATAATAAACTGATTAAGTTCCTAACAAATTCACCTAAAATTTTCATCTAAAACTAAAATCAGCACCCTAAGTATTCCAGCAATCACAAATTTAACAATTAATGAATAAAATTCTAAAATTCTCAACAATCAATCAAAATGAACAAATTCTGAACAAAAAACACCTAACACAATTATTAATCCTAAACAAAAATAAGCATCCTAAGTATTCGAGTAATCATGGATTCAACAATAAATTAACTAATTAATTTCCAAAATTCTAAATAATCAATCAAAACAAACAAATTCTAACAAAAATCACCTAAAATTATTATACCTAACACTTCATAAACACAATTACCAATCCAAAACTATAATCATAACCCTAAGTATTCCACCAATCACGAATTCAATAACTAATAAGCTCCAAAATTCTCAACAATCAATCAAAACAAACAAACTCCTAACCAAAAACACCTAACCTTTCTCTATCTCACAATTCATAACCGCAATTACCAATCCAAAACTAAAATCAGAACCCTAAGTATTCAGTAAATCACAAACTCAACAATTAATCAAGCTCCAAAATTCTCAACAATCAATCAATCAACCAAAACAAACAAAATACAAACAAAAACAGCTAAACCTATAAAATCAAAATCAGAGAAATCTAACCATAGACCTAGCACTATCACCAGAATCAAACTCCTCGAACGACGACGAAGACGGAGAAGACGAAGCAGCAGCAACAACAACAAATCTCCGACATCTTCTAGAAAGTATGGAAGAAGAAGAGGTGAGTTTGAGGAGAGAGAAAGGAAGAGAGAGACGAGACGGTGGTTGTGAAGACGGCGACGGTGAAGGGAGGAGAGAGAAAGTGGCGGGAGAAGAAGCGAAGGTTGCCATTAAAATGAGCACAAAATCTCAACCGACGTCTTCGTTCTTTCTTCCTTCCAACTCAACTTTCTCTCTCCTCTTTGGCTGAGTTGTTATGTTAGACTTAGCTGTTAAAATTTGAGGTACAGCTTTGTTCAAGTGATAGATTTAATAAAAGACAATTATATTACGTCTTTTTTTTTTATTTGCTGACTGGATATGGATAACCATTTTGGGTTGGATCGTTTTTTATGTTTTGATTTGGGGTTTATGTTTTTATGGCCCAGTAGGTTATTGGATTTTGGCCCAATTAATTTTGTACTCTTAGGCCCCGTTCTCTTCACCTTAATTTTGCTGAACTGAAATTATTTTTACTAAACTGAAATTATTTTTGTTGAACTTAAATTATTTTTACTGAACTGAATTTATTTTTGCTGAACTGAAATTATTTTTACTGATTTTCTATTATAATTCTTCTTTAAGAAAACTGAATTTTACGGAACTGAACTTATTTTTACTGAAATGAATTTATTTTTACTAAACTTATTTTTACTGAACTGAAATTAATTTTACTTAATATTATTTTTTTAAGGTGAAGAGAACAAGACCTTAGTGCCAATTACTGAAGAGAAAAAGTTCACAAGTGATATTGTGAACTGAGGCAAATTTTACTCATTTTATAAATGAGCAAAAAAAAATTTGCTCATTTATTAAATGAGCAAAAATTGATGAGCAAATTACCCGAGTGTACGTTACATTTGGATGTATTTAACAAATTCTAGCATACAAAGAATAAGTTTCCGTTTTAGCATTATCTATGAAAAACGCTCAATTTTTATTTTTATTTTTTTGAAAGAAAAAAAAAACGCTCAATTTGAATAGCCATTATACTAATGAACTTCTCAATAAAACAAAATCTTGGAATAATGTGAACAATATAGGCCCTATAGAATGAAAACTATTATCTAAACGTTTTACATAGGAATATTATTTATTTATTTATTGAAAAGTAAAATACAAGGAAAATTAGGAACATAGGAAAATTAAACTAGTAGTGAGTAAGGGCCTGTTCTCTTACGTTGAAATTCAGTTCAGTTCATTTCAGCTCAGCTCAGTTCAGTTCAGTTCAGCTCAGTTCAGTTCAGTTCAATTCAGTTCAGTTCAGCTTAGTTCAGTTCAATTCAGTTCAGTTCAGTTCAGCTCAATTCAGTTCAGTTCAGTTCAGTTAATGAGAACAGGCCCTTAGTGACTAAAATATGCCTTATCATTTATCAATACTACGCCTACACGTTTAATTCATTGGAGCCCCTTTTGCGTGTGCATTTTCTCCATTTTTCAACAACAATATTTTTAAGCTTTGACTACATTTTTTAATGATTATTATGTAAATGTAGGATTAATATGTAAAATGCTATTGGATCAGTGATTAAGGCTGTACATTAACAACATAATAATCATAATGCTGCAATTCAAAAAAATATATAACAATATTAATAAAATAAAATTTTGAGGAAGCATATTATAATCCCCTCGTCCACTTGTTTTTGTCAGTCCATTTAACATTTCAACATGGCATGAGACTATGAGGGCCTATATTAGGCCACTAGTGCAACTTTCAGCCCATCTAATCATGAAATTTGTATAGTTAGTGTATTGTCATTACATTTTTCTATTTATAATTCAACTTTCAAACCTTGAATTCGCCATTGTAATACCTAATTTTAATTTACTTAGTTTACCTTTTATACTCATAATTAACTAATTACATATGAATAAATTAACTATTTTTTTTCCCTAAGACAAGATGTGCGGAGTACTATATTGTAAAGATAACTAAAATTTCGTATGAGAACTAACCATGTGAATTCACATTGTAAGGTCATCTCGTAATGTTCATTTAGAACTTTAAAGTACGATTAATTAGCACTCCACCATTAACTATGATTAATGTATATCCATAATTCATGTCATAATACCATTCCCTATGCCTAACCATTTGCAAAGTAACATTACAATAGCAACTAAAATCCTAAATTTATGTTTTCATGTAGTAGCTTGAAAGAGCAATTAGGCAGGAAAATGTGGGATTTGGCCTCATACGATGAAAAAGAGGCGTGAAAAGTACTCATAATAGTTTGTTGAAGCATTTGCATGTGATGGACTGACTACTCAATATTTGTGTAGACAATGCTATAACAAGAACACGCAAAAATTAACTACAATTCATTGTTGTTTTGGCCATTAAAAGGAACTTGGGTTAGGTTTTATCGTTTTGGCGGACCTTGATTTACTTTTAATAGTACTTGTGGATCTTTTGCTTTAAAAAACAGAAAAAAGGAACTTGGGTTGATTAATTCTATGCCTTTGTCTAGCTAGTTTTGGCTTACTTCCTAATCACATTAATATTGATTATTGTTTATTCGCTAATTATCTTGAGAATATTGATTTGAGTAAGTTAACGCCTAAGTAAGGAAGTTCTCAACTACCAGGCTCCTCATGGTTGATCATCTTAAGGATAAGATAACGGTCCAATCCCATCTTCCCATGTTCTTGGTGATATATTAGATGGTGATACTTCGACATGTCAAATAGGTCCGGTTTAGTCAGATTTGAATAAAAAAATTTAAAGTATATTATACCCACTTCATGGTTAAAATTTATTCCTATTTAAATAATGATGATCTCACCAAATACGGATAATTTTTTAGAGACAAAGAAAATAATATTCGTATTAAGGTTATAAATCGGCCTAACAGTTAAACATTGAATATAATTTATAAAATTATATAATTGAATGTGGTGTGTTTCTTTTGATTTTCTAATAATAATGTATGATATACGAATTAATTAATTTTGGATGGAACACCAAAAAAAAATTAGTTGATTATTGTTATTATTGAAAGCGGCTAAAACTAATTAATACGTATACCATACCTTATTATTATTAAAAGCAACTAAAATTAATTAATTGCTTTTAATATACCAAACAACAAAAGTAGTTGACACAATGGATCATCCACTGACCCACTCTTTAATTTATTCAAGTTTTAAAGCACAAATATACACTCAAGACCCAATTTAGGGTTAGTTCGATAAATTTGTTGATCCACAACCAACACTAATAATGAATAAGTATCTCTATTACAATAATGTAGAAATTGAAAATATTTATGTGTACCTGGCAATCGATAAGTCAAACGGTTACATCTATATTTTTCATCCTTTGTTTTTCTCAAAAGCACTAGCCTCCATAGTTGGTTGTAGTCTTATAGATATGAAAGCAAAGACTTTTGTAAGTTATTGATATGAGTCAATCACATCAACTAAACTACCAGCATACCTTTAATATGTTGATCAAATCAAACATAAATTTTTAATCCATTCATTATAGCAATTAGGTACATTATTATCATTACTTGATGAAAGTAAAGGGAACAGATTTGATTGTGAATGACAAGCCACAAAACTGAATAAATGTTTTTATGGAAAGCCAAAAGATCAATAATGCAAGTATGATCTGATCCATATTTCTCATCAATATTTCATAATTATTATTTTTTCTAAATTTCCAATTCAAATATGGCCGACGTTGTGCACTAATTTTACAAGTTAGCCGCCATACAATTTTTTTAGTGTGTTACATAATAATGTCATGTTAAAGTTTTATCATATTAAGAGTAATAGTAGCATTAATTTTGACTATTTGTCGTTGAAGGTGAGCAGAAATGGCAACATACTTTAGTAAAAACTACTTTAGTTTATTAAACCATCAAATCATGTCGTAAGACTCTTAAACATGTATTCCATCTAAATGTAGTTATTAATTAAGCTCTTTAGTCTTTATTTTTTATAAAGAAAATAATTCTTTTGTATCTAGACATAGTATGCGTGTTGAGAAAATAACCACATGTGAGTTGAGAGTAGATGTCTGTATGTCAAAGAAAAAGAACTTTATGTACTCCGTATTTGTAACAGAGTATATACTTATATCCACTTTAATCTCATATCAGCCATATGAATTTTTCCTATTTGTTATATTCAACTTCATAAATATTTGTTGTCATTTTCATTTGAGCTAGATTCTCCTGAGCTCGTGTATCAATGTATGGAGGTTAGGGGGAAAAAAACATTATTGTTAGGGACAATTTGTTTGACTTATCAGATTTGAGATTCCCTCCTATCTAGAAAACAAAGTTTTTTCCTAACCTTTTTACATGCTTGAAAATATAACAAATGCACATCTTCACCACCACTTCACCCCTCAATAAATCAATAATACGGTGTATTTTTTTTTTCTCTTATTATTTTGTAAGGATAAGAATTTTAAATATCAATAGATCTTACAAGTTAATCATTACAATTACACGGGTAAACGCTTGAAAGTAAAACTCCTAGCCATTCGATATTAAGCGCAAGTAGCTAGATGATAAAGGCTGAATTTGCGGATTTTCCACCACTTCCACCAAGCTTTTATGGTAACTTTTTCATTATCACATGATACTCAAGAGCAAATTAAAACCGCTATCTAATACAATGTACAAGGAAAAAGGCAAAAACAAATGGAACATAAAAGCAAGTTACAATTAGATACTGATTGTCCAAAAGGCAAACAAGAGAATTACTTTAGATTACAAAGCCTTTTCTAAAGGCCAACAACACTCCTTTTTTTTTTTTACCAAAAGAGAAGGTTAATTCAACAAAGCTTACACATTTTTTTTACCACAAACTTCCCCAGCTCCCTAAACCAAACTAATTACCCACCCAAAAGGTTAATTACCCCAAAAAAAAAAGAGGTAAAAAAAAAAACTGTCCAGAAAACAAAAGGGAAGCAGAAGTTAAAAAAAAAAAAAAGAAATCTTCCTAAAGATCTATTTTTGGTTGAAAGTGCAATATTCACCTACGGCGCTCTGGAGTCCAATGAGGTAATCTGGGGCTAAAATGCGCCGATACAACTCTTGAATCAAGTAACTCCATAATTGGCGTAAAATTCACACATCTTGGCACTTTATACTGATTTATTGACGCACCACGTGAGATTGCATAGTCCATAAGTTCCTCAAACGTACCACTTTTAACAACCCGTATTTCTAACGCCCCTATTGAGTTATCCGCAACTCGGCCTTGCCGGTACACCGAGTTAAGTGAC